CGTCCTTAACGGGGTGAAGACCTGGATCGCCAACTCGCCCATCGCCGACTTCTTTCTCGTCTGGGCGAGGACAGAGCCGGGTACGCAGCTGCGCTGCTTCCTCCTCGAGCGCTCCAGGTGCAGCCGACTGAGTACACCGGAGATCAGAGGCAAGTTTTCTATGCGAACTCTCCCTGTCGGCATGATTGTCCTCGATAATGTCATGGTCCCGGAGGCGAATCTGCTGCCCGTGGACAACGGTTTCAAAGGGCTTTTCAGCCTGCTGAACCTCGCCCGCATCGGCATCTCCTGGGGCGTGCTCGGCGCGGCCGCCTTCTGCTTTGAGCTGACGCGCAACTACACCCTCGAGCGGCGGCAGTTTGACCGGCCACTGGCCAGCAATCAGCTGATTCAGTACAAGCTGGCGCAGGCGATGACCGAGCTGAACCTGGCGTTGTTGGGCTGCCTGCACGTCAGTCGGTGCTGGGACGAGGGCACCGGCACCCCTGAGATGGTCTCCCTCATCAAGCGCAACTCCACGGAGAAGGCGCTGGAGGCGGTGCGCCGGTGTCGTGAGATGCTCGGCTCGAACGGTCTGGTGGACGCCTACCACGTGGTGAGGCACATGAACAACCTGGAGGGCTGTGCCACCTACGAGGGCACCGGGGATGTGCACGCGCTGGTCCTCGGAAGAGCCATCACCGGACTGCAGGCGTTCCAGTGAGGCAGTTTCTTTGCTGTTTTGTTTCTGTTTTTTAACTCTGTCAGATGCATTTATTTGTTCTAGAGACATATTTTTGGACAAGTGTTCAAATAAGTTATATGTTTTTTGCCAAGTTGGTAAAAGTTTTTGCATGAAAAAAAGCATTTATAATAAGGGGACCTGCATTTTTTTCAGGACTAGCCTGAGAAAGTGAAAATTTTTAAAAATCTAGCAATGAAAAAAGAAACCGAACTTTGAGCCGGACGAAAATCGAATTCGCAACCTTCTGATCTGGAGTCAGACGCGCTACCATTGCGCCACCAGCCCAATTATACAGTAGAATGCAAGAGGATACAATCTTAATTGTATCCTCCTCTGAATGCTGACTTTCCTGCGCAATGTCTTTCAAGGGGGGTTTTGGGTAACTTTCAGAGCGCTGTATAGCACTGTATAGCAGAGAGCAGC